TATATATATATATACTTTACGTTCTAAAAACAAGTTACAAAAAAATACTACTTAATATTTCCTGATAATTGTGTTTAAAATATAATTTGAAATATTTTTTTTTTAAATATGGAGCAGTTTATCCTTTGCAATAATGGGAAAAAGCTTAGATACTCTTAATTTTCTATTATTGGGAAAAAATCGCCGTCGTGTCGCGGCCTGGGAGGCCTCTCAGGCAATTGTCTACCGTAAATCAATAAGTGTCCTCAAACACGGAACCGCCCTGAAACGAAAGGAAAAATCACGGAGAGATTTGAAGCCGCTACGCTATGCTACACCTCACATATCGATCGATGCACACCCGCGAAATGCGCGTTGCCGCGAGGTGTCCGGCTATTCCACTTCCGATGACCTTTGCGCGACGTGGTTTGTTGAACTCGCGCTATAGATGGTCAATATTGTTTGCAAGATTATGACACTTGCTCTTTGCACGCTACCGATTGCGGTCTAGAAAGAATCACAGTAATGAATTAATAATAAAATTGTAGAAATATACTTGGAAAATTTATTCGTTTGTCCTTGCAATTTTCATTGTGTTTAATACCATCGTTGATATAGAAAAATGTCAAGGCACGCGAGACCAGCGATCCAATGTGTCTTTGTTTATTTTATTAGAAGTAATTCGATGACGCGAACGATGGTATGATCGACTTTGCGCAGAAGCGAGCGCCGCTTGCCCCACCGAATGATCACTGAACGACATCGACCCGTGTGGCTCACGCATGATATATTTGCTGGCGTGAAAGAAGGGTGATTATTATAACCGGTTTTGGGGCCCATTTCTCTACAGTTTAAATGGAAAATCTTGAACGCGGATGGACCGACCGTAAGATTTTCTGAACAGAGCTCGATAGACAGAAATCCACTTTTGTTTTTTTTTTTACCTTTGATTATAGGTACATTCTAACAATGTAAGGAAAATTACATTATTTTAACACATAGAGAGATGATGGTCAATATCGTTTTAACTTTGTACATAAAAAAAGGAGCAGTAAAAAAGAGGGTTTTTCCAAAAAAAGATTCCCATCTTTGGTCTTGTGAACTCCGACCTATCGAATTGACCGATTCATGCATCCTTAAGCTTCTTATTTATTCAGACCTTTCGTTTTATTTGAATTCACACACATCCGCATCATCTCATTGAAATTTTACTCCTCCTTTATTCCATAATGTGGTTCTACAGATTCTTGCGTGTGCTCTCTGAAAAAGGGTCTCCTGAGATTTTTAATCTTGCAAGATTTCTTGATGAGAAAAATCGATGCATGCGTTCTTGCCTGACGATTGCCCAGCATGCGATTGCCCACGCAGACTATTATCATTACAATATATCACAATTATTATAGCAAACATTACTTTCTTGCTCGATCTCATTTCTTCTCATAACTACGCTAGCGTCATTATGATCACCATGGTCATGGATCGCGAAGGCCTATAGTATAACAACCTAGCGGGAACAATCTCTTTTTTACAACTCATGCCTTTATCACTTTAATGACTGCTCAATTAATGAAGACGAGTGTTGCACAGACGTAGGCGAGTTGTCCGTTCATTTAATTAAATTTGCTATATCAATATATAAATACCAACGAAAAGTTGACGTTCAATTGCTTCGTGATTAACCGGCAACAATCACAAATTTGCCTTTATAATCCAATCGACTCTTTATAATCTCGGTAAGAAGTTGAAGTACATCGATTTTCTAGCAGTTTTGTGTGTGTGTAAAACACGCACTTTAATGCTAATCTCTAGTCGATAATAGAAAAATGATCGTTATTTCGTTTGCCAAATTGATTGTCAATTGGACTGAATCATCAAAATTGGACTGAGTCATCAATACTGTTAAAATGACAACAAAACTATATGCGAGAAAATGTATAGACAAGTTGAAGACACATGAAAAACGAGCTTTTTGTTCGTACTTACATTCATACGTATTTGAGTAGTGTATCATTGACATTCGAGTATATTTGGCACAATCGATTTGTACGATGAGCGAGAATTTCTGTTGAACTTACGACTCGCACGTAATCTAATTGGCGCCTTGTCGTAAATACCAGTTCAGAAAAAGCGGGAAAAAGCTTGGCTGAATTAATTCACCAGAATGTTAAATTAAATGTAAAAATAAAGGCAAATTGAAACGTTCATGCAACGCATGAAAGAATACTTTTCTAATTTTTATTCGAAGTATAATTAGTAACATAATAATTTTTTGCAATTGTTTAATTGTAACAATTCTTCGTAGAGCATTACATGCATACAGTGATTTAATAAAGTAAATTATTAGAGCGATAATATATACAATATTATTAATGTAATTTCTGCAATATCGTATCATCAGATATTTTAAAAGAATAGCGAGTTATTTTTATCCAGGCCACTAATAATGACGCCGTAATTTCTCGTGCCTCTTCAGCGCACAACGAGTAATTATTCGATACATTTCGCGAATGCCTGTGAAAGAAAAGAACTGCACTCATTATCAGTTGTTCTTCTCAAAAACTCAAAGACGTCGATTCGGTCAAGTGCTTGCCTCCGCTGTGCATCATCGAATTGTTCTGGCCTCACTATAAGTAGTAGCCAAGTGCGACTATATAAAAATTGACCGATTAAGCTCGATGTGTAAATTTTAAAGAAATAGAATAGCACAGGTTGCCGTATCATTCTCAGTGGGCCTGTAGCGCAACGTGCTTTTTTCAGCACGCATTACGAAGAAGTCATTTTAGCGAGTCCTTACGTTAGTCCCGTAGTCTAGCCTAGAGTGCTCGCTTATAGACACGCGTCACGCGTCGCTATATTTATATACGATTGAGAACGTATAGAATTAATCACGTAGCGTTGGTTGAATGAAAAATTGAGACTGTTGGTTGGAAAATTACCGAAAGATATTGAGACGGCTGACCTTGCTCAGTCGCAGGTCTATCGACGAAATGAAATGTATTCGGATTAGATAACTGTACGTGCAGTCGACGTGTATGGTTCGTGTGGTATATGGTATATGTTCACTTCGTTTAACATTCCGCCAACGCATGCGGATAATATTATAGGAGCCTCCAATACCGCATAAGTAGCGCCACACTCGAAAACACGGCAGATTTACACAAGATAGAAACACCACACCTAGCACCAAAAGTTGAAGTTTGCGTCCGTGCTCTCTAAGTTGTCGTACGTATCTAGAACCAGGCATCTGATACCGGTATTTTTCCTAATTTTGTTATAGGCCCGTGGGAGTCTGGGGAAAGATCGTGGGCTCATTATGCGCGATTGCCGGTGTCCTGACGATCGCTCTACCCGTCCCCGTTATCGTCTCCAACTTCAACTACTTCTATCATCGTGAGACTGATCAGGAGGAGATGCAGTCGCAGAACTTCAATCATGTGACTAGCTGTCCGTATCTTCCTGGCACTTTAGGTATGCCGTAGTGTTTCTTTATGGGATATAGATATCGATCTAAGGACTAATGATAATAAATTGGAATTATAGATAATTGAAAATACGGAATAAAGATTTTTATGGGAAAATGTGCGTTTTTCAGGTCTGAAGAAGATCTCGATGTCGGAATCCTCGTCAGATATAATGGAACTGGAGGAGGGCACTTTGTTTACTCATCCAGAGATAACTAAAAAGTCAAATTGCAACCCTCGCCACAATAACAATATCAATCCAGCCTGCATGAGCATCGAGACTGACGTTTGACTACTAGGTATTGCAGATTTAACTTGCGCATATATCGTATTCAACTACGAAATATCGGTATTACATTCGGCCGATAGTCTTATTCTCACTCTACGCTATCGATTGCAGTGAAGGAGATGGTGGCAGCATGGTGGCCGTTGCTGGGTCAGTTGTCAAAGAGCAACTGCGGCTTCCTGCGGTACCTGACGTAGGCCTCCTTCACACCTCGTCATAGCCGTAACGGCTGGTGCCAGCGTCACATCTCACCAGCCTGTCCAATCAGATCCGTCAGGGGCGCCTCAGGTCAAGATCGCGAGAGATCACCAAGGATCACGCGATTTTCCGGGAAATCGATCGGGTGCTTCCTCCATCTGTGACGAGAAACGGGGATGAGAGGTGGAACAGACCCAAAATGTGCGAAGAGCAAGAACGAATCTATCCCCATTCTCGAGACGTCGTCATCTCTCCCGCCACCGCCTCAGAAGACTTGCGCCTCACGTAAGGATCTACGTGCGAACGAAGGGGACGGGATATTTCTTGCTCGCGTGCCATGTGAGCACGCGTGCGGCCCGAATCCCCCACACCACCGACTCCAGTGTTCAAAACAAAAAAATAAAATAAAAAATAAAAATATAACAAATGATATCGAAAAAACATCGCGGCGTCTTCGTATAAGCGCTGTCGAGTGTCCCACCCGTCCCTGCGGGCTCCTCCGATTTCCGGTATCCGACGAGTGAAAACGGGAAGGGGGAGCCGATAGAGACGGCAAAACAAAACGGGGATCGTACCAGATAATACTATATTAATTATTATCGATACAATTAATATCGAGTACCGTACACGTAGGGCGAGGGTAAATTAACAAAGTACGTTTTATGATTAATCGCGAGTGCGGACGAGGACACTTGGACGAAGACGCTGCTTGCAGAAGAGGCGAAAACTGCGGAAACGGCAAAGAGGCACGCGAAAGAAGCATCAAGGTCGAAAGACGGAGGAACAACATTTATAGAGAGAAAGCGAGAGAGAGAGATAGAGAGAGAGAACGAGAGCGAAAGCAATAGCGAGAGAGAGAGAGAGAGAGAGAGAGAGAGAGAGAGAGAGAGAAAAACTGCGGAAACGGCAAAGAGGCACGCGAAAGAAGCATCAAGGTCGAAAGACGGAGGAACAACATTTATAGAGAGAAAGCGAGAGAGAGAACGAGAGCGAAAGCAATAGCGAGAGAGAGAGAGAGAGAAAGAGAGAGAGAGAGCAAGAGTGAGAGCGCGCGCGAGAGAGAGAGAAAGAGAGGGAGTACGTGGTGTGTGTTGGAAAAATATTCCATTTCTTTTTAGTCATTTTTTTCATAAAGAACAAGTAAGCTAATTTTTATATTGGGTTACCATTACATAATGCATTAATAATGTGAGGCAATTAGGATTACAGAATTAATTTTTCCTATTTGTTACACACATTTGCTGATACACGCGTATCTGTGTACGCGTAAATAGATTACATAAGTGCCGATGAAGCTAAGGTCGAAATCGAATGGCGCCATCATTTCATGTAAACAAGAGATTAATATATCGTTAGAGAGATTAATCATAATAATTAGACATTTGCGAAAATAATGACGCTAACGATTTCGATGATATCTACATGTGACTGCAAAAGTTACTTTGCCAATGTCGGTTTACGCACCCCTGCCGCTTAAAATTGCTATAATTAAAATTATCTAGAGCGAATATATCCGAAGAAAAAAACTAGAGGCATATTGTGAAAAATCAAAGCGTTACTTGAACTAATTATCATTTTTGACGGAAATTACTTATTGATGTCAAATTATAGCACGATATTATCTTTCCAATTAAAGCTTCGTATTATATAGACATATATAAAAGTAAATCAATTCGCATGTTTATATTTGAAGCAAAAAACAATAGAAACTAGGCCTCAGCATTATAAGTGGCAAGGGTGTATGTCCGTATGTATGGATGGTGAATTTCAAAGAATTACGATAGATATTGCGATAAAGATTGAATATGAAGATCGCGTGAGACGGTACGAGAGGGATTGTAATGATAACAAGTGTCCAAAAAATCAAAACCGAAAATGTCTGCCGATGGCGCGCGTTTTTATCCAAATCATAATTTGAAACCTTTCAACGCGTACGATTTGATATTTCTGTCTTCGATGTATGCGACAGTGACTTTTCGAAAATCGTGGATGATTGTTTGCACCGGGGACAGAATAATGACTATTAACGATGGTCAACGTGCATGAAAGTACGCGTGTGTTAAAAATAGCTCATATATCACGTTCTTCGTCTTTATCAAAGCTCAAAGATCAAAGGATTACTGTGCTATTCTTTACGGAACTAAATTTTGATTTGTCTTGGAGCTGCCAGAAGTATATCTTTGATAACGAGAAGTACAAGTTGGTTGTAAAATGTCGAGAGAAAACGTTACGATAACTCTTACAGTTTTCCTCTTCCTCTCCTGTAAGCAAATTTTTAACGGGATCAGTATTCTACAAAAGTCGTTTTTAATTCGTCCGAAACACAGTGATACATTTCGGTAATTAAAGAAGTAGAATTTAGATTATTGTTGGGTCATTTAGGTTTTAAGTTAGATGGCAACAGAATTCGTATCAAGAAGGAAGAGGAAAACATGTTGTCGAGGCAAGCTACTGTTTGGAGAACGAATTGGCACGCCAATCGATCCTAACACCTAATCTCTTCCCGGAGAGATATTCCAAATCTGTTCGTCTCAAAGTTCCACTTCTTTTAATACGACAGAAATATGTCGCAGAATCACCCAAAACTGCCAATTTAGCGCTCTCGATTTATATCACGCCAAGGAATTACCCCAGGTACATCCTGCGGAGCCAAATCGGTCCAAATCCGATCAATATTCGACGTGCTGATTCGATCCAAATTCGATGAGAAGTCAAGTAGCGGGACATATCTTCACTCGTGTAGAATTCAAGGATATAGGAAGGGGAGAGATATACACGTAAACGCGAAAACATACAAGGTCCTCGTTCCATCTCCCGAAGTTATCGATTTTCGATTGTTATTCGACTCGATGGAGGAAAACCGAAGCAGAGCCCAGGTGAACCTTTTCAGTATCCATTTACTATTGTTTATTATTGTATATGTCGCGCATTAGTTTTCATTAATTGGCATACGTTAAAGCATTATATTGCTAATATGACATATGCTAATTTGACAAAGTTTTTACAAAATTTACTTAGATCATTAATATATTTAGTTTTGATACTGAAGAGGTTAACTAATTCTGTTTAACAAGGCACATGTGATTTAAGGCTGATACATAATGAAGAGTTCAAAGAAAATATAGGAGCAAGAAGTAAAAAATTAGTTTGCCAATATTAACTTAAAAAATAAAGAAATAGTTGCGCAAGTAGTAACATATGAAAAACTAGGTATTATCGAGCAACAAAATCAATGGAGTTTAGTCTCATAATTGACAACCATAATATAAGTAATATGGAAATACCTAAAAGAGACATTAAATGAGAATTAAAGCATAGACACGATTGAGAAAAGTCAAATACGTAGAGAGTTTTCCGCCTTTTAGGATGGAAGTAGTTTTGCACTGATTTAACTGATTGAAAAAGGAATGTAAGATCCGCATTATTCGCGATATATATTTATTCTCGATTCGTTGTTCGATGTACCATTCATTGTTTGTTGGTAACAATACCAGTTTACGCTCCTTGTTCTTATATCTCATTGTGTATCAGCTGTTTTAAATATGCGATCGATTACGCAAATGACGAAGCAATTAATTAAAAAAAAAAACAAGGAAAGAAAAGATAAATCGATCTCAGTTGGTAATCTCTCTTAGAAGTGATTTTAACAGACAGCTAATCTCATTTTTTAATAGACACAATATCGACGATGGTGAAATTTTAGAGTTCACGAAATGAAAGAGATTGAGAAAGAGAGAGAGAGAGATAGAGAGAGTGAATGCAAGTGCATGTGTGCGCATGTGTGTGTATGTATGCGTATACATGTATGTAAAAGAGAGAGAAAGGTGAAAGAAGCAGAGAAATAATGGAATATATAGAGATATAACAAGATATATATTGATACAATAATTACACGGAGATTTAAGTTACACGCTTTTAATACAATACTCAGACCTCTCGCCTCGCTGATTTAGTCCGAGAAAAGAAGTATAGAAATAATAAAAAAAGCAAAATATAAAAAACTATGCATCAAACTACCAGCCTAGCTAAAATCGTGAAAGAAAGAGATAGAGAGAATGTGTGAAAACAAGAGACAAAAGTGAGTAAAAAATTGTTCTATGAACGATAAATTTATATTACTACTACTAAAAAATACTATTACTGTACTATCACTACTGCAACCGCTACTACTATTACTATTACTACTATTACTCTCTTATCATTACTATATTTACTATTATTATTAACTACTATTGCGCTATTACTATTACTACTACTGCTACTACTATTACCGAACAAAAAAAAACACGCTATGGTGAAGTGTTTAGATAACGAGAAACTACTCCGCTAGGCAGTCAGTAGCCGTTAGAGTACACGAAGATAGCCATTAGGTGGCGAATTACGACATCATCGTTGTCGCTGCGCGTCGGATTATTCATAATAATCGTATCAAAATTCCAAGTCTCCGTAGAATCGATCAAGCCGAGGCGGTTATACATAGTCGGCTGAATAAATATGAAAAATAGGCCGCCGTCAGATAGAAAAAAAATATTATAAAATATCAGACATACGTTGTTATTCCGTTCGGTTTCCATCGGCAGACTTTCGTTGCCTGAAAATAAATGCCAAGGATCGAGCTTTCATGACGACCTCTCAAAGATGAACAGATTTGTCTTAATCTAAAAGTTACTCGCGTGGTAATTGCTCATAGAGCACACAAATTAAATATTAATTAAATTACTCCCAATTTTTTTGTTTTATTTGAATTGCTCATTAAAGGAATTAAACCAAAATTAAGTTGAAATCTAAGATAAAGTTTACATATGAGAGAATTTATACTATCGACTTATTCATTCACTAAAGATTTAGAAAATCGAGATACAGAAATTGGATTTAATTGTTAATTTAAAATTAAAATGGTTGAAATTCTTTCCGCTCACAATACGTATCTGAAATCGTCATGCAAAAGCGAATCCTCGAAAATTCGTTGGACTTCCATTACGTTACGCCGTGTCTATTTTTAATTACGCAAACAAAGAAAGAAAAGAAAAAAACCAAACGAGGTGTCACGGAAGTATAACTTTCGACGTTTTCTGTTTGTGCACCGGGGCACGATAAGGCGTCTTGTAAAAGGGCACAGGACGAGCGAGCGGGAGTAGTCGCCGATGTTCCTTCTGTAAAATTAAGTCACCTGCATTCCTGGAGGAAGAGGGAAAAGAACTTTTCTCCCCTATCATCCTTTCCGCTGTGGTCTGTACGAATCGATTAACGAAGCGATTGTCGATTATCTAAGCGTTCCCTCCGTCGAGGATCCAGGAAAGAGACAGAAAAAGAGGAGAAGAGGAGAACATGAATAACGTGAATGAGAGTACGAAGGGAAAAGCGAGAGAGGAAGAGTGAATGGAAGTATGTCTGAGAATGAGTGAGAGGGAGAGAAAAAATTATCGG